ATTGTTTTGTTTTTCTATTTACTTTTATAACATGATTACAACAGCATTTAATAAAATTATTTTTATAATGCTACTACTTGATACTGATACTTGGTACACCAGCATTTATAATTTAATTTTTTTCTAATTTTTAAAAAAAAAAACAACTATTTTTTTGGTTTCTTTTTTTTTTAATCTTATTAGTAAAAAAAATACAAATATTAAAAATATAAATTCGCTTTTACCCCTCCCAAAAAAGCACATAAGTAAAACTTACACTTTTGCTTCTATTAAATTAATAACATTTAATATTTTTATAATTTTTAATATTTATTAAATTATAATATATATATTTTTTTTATAAATCACCCAATATCTCATAGGGTTTAATAAGAATTTAAAATTACTTTTTTCATATGGTTTTTCTTACATACTGATCTCAATTGTTCAAACATTTTTTTTTATTTGCCCCCCTCCCAACTTAGTTTTTTTGATGCAACTTTTGGAATTTAAATGATGACGTATATATTTTATTAACGTTTTAAATTAAGAATAATGTAATTCAAATTTTGACTGTTCGATAACTAGTTTCGGAAAACTATTTTTGATATTATAAGAGTTTAAAAGTTAGGATGGGAGGGGAAGTGGAGTGTAGTATTATTTTTATCCGCGCGCATTTCCCAACTGCACTTCCCCTCCCATCCTAACTTTAAAATTCATATAACTTAAAAAAATAATTATCCGAAACTGGTCATCGACCTGTCAATTTTTTTATTACATTATTTTCAATTTAAAAAATTAATAAAATATTTACGTTACCAATTAAGTTTTAAAAGTTGCTATCAAGTAAAACTTAGTTAGATGGTGGTAAAAATAAAAAAAAATGTTAAAAATTGAGATCACAAAGTATAAAAACAGTATGGAAAAAAAAAATTAATATCTTATTAAACCCTATTAGATATCGATAAAAGAATCACCCTATATATATATTTAATTTTTTGATTCTAAACTATTACGTGCATATTTAAGTCAAATCGTATTTAAATATTTTTATAATATTAAATAGTATAATAATATAATATTTCCTAAATTCATTAAAAAATATTTTTTCGGTTCATTAATTTTTTTGAATTAGTAAAAAAATACAAAAATTGAAAACTTACATTCCCTTTTTACCTCCCAAAAAAAATAATACATAAATCAAACTTACAATTTTACTTATATTAAATTAAAAACATTTGCCTCTTTATATATAAATTTCTTCTGTCCGCGTGTAAGTATGCAAACTTCTCCTAAACAGATTTTTATAAAATTTTGTGTGCGCGATTAAGTTGATTCAAGAAAGGTTTATCTATTCTAAGACACGGGCAACGCCGGGTTGGGAGAGCTTGTATATACCTGTATTATACTTTTTAAAGCGCATAAAAACGTTATTTTTAGATTAATTTTTTAATCTACTTTATTATTTCGTTATTTTATTTTTAACCGCGTGTGTTTAATTATTTTTTGTACGGTTATTTTGACTATCCGCCAATTGATAAATCCGCCCCTACGGCGAACTCCCTTTCTTATCTTTCTTTCCATCATACTATCCTCTTTACTTACGGCCGGCATTTACTCTCACTAGCTAACACTTTCGCCGATTGAGCAAAATTAGCTTCATCATCTACATCATCGCTGAACCAGAATAAGGTACGTGGAAATATTATATAATAGTAATTTTAGAGTAATGATAGAACTCGGAAGAGTTAGGATAAGTAAGCAACACACACACATTTATCTCACTTAAAGAACTTGATATTTATAATTCGTCCCAACCTAATCCGTTCATCTCTCTCTCTTTTATTTCATTACATTATAAGTGAGTTGTTTCCGATGACCATTGAGCTTAGAGTGAAACCTTGCAAAGTAGATTATGGCAGTTTCGTGAACTGTTTTGGTGTTTATGTCTGAACGATTTTAGACTAGAGAACATTTTAAACTAAAAGGGGGCACAATGGGGTCAGGGCACGTTGAAGAAGGACGTCTAGTTATTATTCACAATTTGTAGACAAACATAATGTTGTGAATGTGTATTATTTACAATCAAGGTAACTACAGTAGAAAACTTGCTGAGATTGACTAAAACTCTAATTTCACACAGTTATATTATCATAACCAATAAACTAACCAAAAAGCCGTCAAAACAATTTATTCAAGATCGTTTAACAACACAAAGGTCTGACCATTGTTTTAGATTAAACATAATTAGCATAAGGCAATTTACTAATAATTATTGCTGAAAATGATTAGTCAATTTTAATTAATTATAACATAGCATAATGTAATGTACGTTATTAGAGTTTTAGTAATTCAAATTTTTAATGTTGAAACAGTTTTTGTAAAACCTTAAAAAAAAATGTATTAATAGAAAACCATAGTCAAAACACCGATTGCTAAATAATGCAAGTGCATGATAAATCACAAAAAAAAAAAGAACCAGTTGTGTAAATAAACCAACATATTATCTACACTGCAAAACTATATTTACATTGTGATTTTTTGGTGGCAGTAAATATGTATATAAGCCCATTAATAAGTCGCAAATAGTACATTTAGTTTGAAAAGCTGTTCAATTAAATTGTTGTACAAGAACCTCTAACCAACTCCACAGATAAAGTAAGTATTGATATTTAATTAAAAAAATTGTAATAACGCTAAATTAAAAAGGCATGAATGAGTCAAAACTTATAGTGTTAAAAAATAGCAATAAGGATTTTCCATTGCTAGTTATTTTTTTATCGATACTTAATTTATTATGATTTTACACAATTCACATTTTGAAGGGAACTATATAATAGAATTTTTGTTTTTTTCGTCATTAGGCTTAAAGTGTACTAAAGCAAAGGCAGAAAAAAAGTCAGTTTTTAAAATCGTTTTTATAATACATCACTTTTCATACATTTTCTTATTTGACTTACTAAAGAGCACCGAGCACCTATAATTTATTTCTTGCATGATAATTGTATACACATTATAAATGTAATATAAATATATAAAAAAAATGTTTTCACCTCCGTATTTTTTGTTTTTTTTTGTCATTGTAAAAATAAATTAGTCTGCAGTGAAGACAAAGTCAATTTTCTAAGAGAAACTTAATAATTCACTTTAAAAATTAAGAAAACATTTTTTTTGCATGTTTAAAAGTTTTTAATTTTATTTTTGACAATTTTAAAACAAACGATAAACCCCAATTTTTGCACGTAAATTAGACAGAAATTAATACCCTCTAAAAATAAGATTTTATTTATGAGTTATGATAAAAAAAGCTTAATCATACTTCTTTTTTGACTTTCATAAATCTTTTTTTTTTATATTCCTTTTTTGACTCCGACGAAATAATTTTTTTACTTAATATCAAGAGCTACTTTTTTGAGCTATTATGAAACGATTTATAAAATTAAAATTTTTCTGGACATCTTAGAGTACTATTTAAAAAGATATTTCAATATTTTTTTATAACGGCAATAATTTTATTTTTGAGGACATTTTTTTAAAACTAATATGACATTATCTCTAAAAAGGTATCTTCTTTCCCTAAAAACTCTTTAAATCCATTATGGGTTGATTAAGGAGCATTATGCGTAGTCAAGTTTAGACGCTTGAAAATTAAGAGTATAATGTCACTTTATAAAGTCTAACTTTAATAACAACATTTCGTTAAATACTTTTTCTAGATTCTATTTTTAATATTTTTAGCCTAACTTTTTTATACAATGCATCTTAAATATCGAAATAACTGTAGTTTTGGCCACATAAAGTACCTTTCAAGTTAGATTTCTACCTTCCTATACAAAAAAAAAAACAGTTAGCGGCCTAGGAAATATTGTGGATGGAGTAAAAAATTACAAGGTAATCCAACTGGTGTAAGATATACATATTTTAAAAAAATTGTCTACCTACACTTGTAGGTATATATATTTTTCTACATTTTTCAATACTAATAATATTTTTTTCTTCAACCCCTATACGTAAGGGGATACTTGCCTTTAGTTTTTTTAAATTGGAATGTATGTTTTTAATTTCAAAAATCCATAAAAAAACAAAATTTTTAAAATATATTTAGCGTTTTAATTTGTAATTTTCAATTATCTGATCGTTTGCTATGACTTTGTAAAGGTTTGGATTTAAAATCAATATTAGTAGCACTTCTATTTGCCATTAAATAATAATATTGATCCCTATCGATATTACTGTTACTGATAATCAGACATATATAACATTCGCTCAAATTTTCTTTTATATTATATGAACAATCGATTTTTTTGGCGTACGTATACAATATTTATTTATCTCAATTCTCACACAAAATGCATAACATCAACTTAGATAGATACTAGTGTATCACACAAATTACAATTATGGTTATAGTATGCATTGATTATTATTAGCTGTATATATAACGATTTATTTCTTGGTCCTTAGTCATAGATATTTTTTTTTAAAGTTTTTCAATGAGATATTCCGTCATTTTGTTCATTGCTGTGAACAAAAAATTTAGGCAGAACTGAGTTCTGATGATTCACCTCCTTCACGTGACTCAAGGGGGTTGAAAAAGGCCAAATAATTAATTTTATAACTTTTTTGAGTTTAAGTAAAAAACTGTTGCATTTTGCGTAAAATTTCTCATTATCTTTATGATAGGTCAAAGGTTAAATCAGGTTTAATTTTTGAACACATTTCCGAACTTATCTCGTTGGAATACGCGCCTTTTTGTCAAAATACTATTTACTCATCATGGACTGAACGACTGCTATCACGAAAACTCAGTTTAAAATCACAATACAAATTTTATATAAATGAAGATGATTTATTTTATACTGTTCCCAGAACGATTTCTATATTTTGTTTCTAGCAATGAGTTTCGTTTTTCATACATGTTATCATATTAAAACTGCCTTGAAAATCCATAACCTTCTTATCTCTGACCCGGAGGAAATTGTAACTGTCATAAAATGTTTTTTATTTATTATTATTCGCAGATAAAAATGAAACTCTTCTGTTTATTAATACCTATTTTCTTCGTGGGTGTTTTGGCAAATGGTAATTACTTTATTTTCACAGTTATCAGTTAAAGGTAGATAAAATTTGAATAATATTTTAATATTTAAATTTTTACAGAGGGAACATATATGAGTTATATTTTCATTACAAGTCAGTTACATTTTTATTTTACAAACAAATCTTTTTTGAAGTTTTCAAAATCCACTGTTTTTTTACATACTTTTTTAATTATGTATCACAGCTGAAGCCTTGGCAATTGCAAATGATTTGACTGTAGAAGGTACAAATGGTACAGAAACAAGTAAGATATATTTAAAATAATATACTAATATATATGTAGAAGTTGTGTTACAATTACCTGAATGTTAAGTTATTAAAAAATTAAAAATTATTGTTTTGTCAATAGTTAAGAAAAGTGCATTAGATATTTAGAACAGTGTATAGAGCAATCAAATAATATATATAAATTAGCGATTTCTAATAATCTTATCGAGGGAGAAATTAAATGGCTACTGCTCAAATCCAAGTTTAATATTTTTCTAAACATTTGTATGGTACCTAATTTTATTTTATTTAAATATTTTAGTATAGCAATAATCTTCATTTGTTTATTGTAGATGCATTGGAGCATGTAATTGAGACAATGGTTGATAATGTAGAGAAATACAGGCATTTCGGTAATCAGAATTATAATAATAAAAAACATCAAGATAAAAGTAGAAAAAAATATTTGAAAATATTATAAAAATACATCTCAAGTTTATCGTTTTGCAATTGATGTGTTATAATTCTTATATTTTTCACCGTATCTTAATAGAAGCTTAATGAAAAAAATACTAAAAAATATGATAGCTCTATCATCCTCGTCCGATTAAGATGTTTTATTCTCATTGCCTAAACTAAATCAACTCAGCCATTACATTTCACAAGGATTCTCTAGTATATATAATAGTTTTTTCTACTTTGACCATCGTCTTCTAATTTATTATTATATAATGTAATAACTTATTATACAAATGCAAATCAATATCATTAATTTGTGTAATTTCAGGCAAACTTAATTTTTTGTTAGCTGTACCGGGTAATAGTCTTTGTTGAATCTTATGAAAACATTTCTAATACTTCGTTCCTATTGAATTCTCCAAAGAAATTCTCATCGTATTAAATATTTAATATTCTTAAATATATTCCATATATTTCCGCATATTTCTTCTGAGTTTTTAGTACACATGTTTTTCCTAACTTGACATTCGTCTTTCTGTTTATAATTGCATAAAAAAGTATATGCAATATCATTATTAATGTGTTATTCATTTCAGACCATCCGGAAATTATGCGCACAATACCACGTAATAATTTTCATTGTTTTTTATAGAAGCGCTTCAACGCAGTTGTTTGATATTATTTATACACATATAATTTTTATTTTACTTTCAGAACTTCCATTACTTCCAATATTGCAAAGTAAAAACCCCATTTTATATTTCATATTTATCATACTTATTGCATATTTATTATTTATAAATACTTCATATGATTGATAAATAATCATATGTACCTATTGACCAATACCAATATGACATATCGGATTCAATCATAAATAATATGTAGGTACATTAAAATGTATTTTGTTTTTAATTTTAGAAGCCAATTTTTTCTTCCAAATTATGCGACAAGACATAGAAAGGCTATTAGGTAAATCTAAAATTAAAAAATAAATAGTTACATATTTTTGTAGTTTTTAAGAAAAAGTCGATTTATATCTTAATGTCTTAAGTTCAAGATTCTAAGAATCATTCGAAATATAATTTAAACTGTTTAAATAAGTATCGCTATAAGACATGAATGATTATTTATTTAATAATAATTTACAATAGTCTAATTAACCTCAGGTATAGAGTTAATGTCATATTAAAAAGGTTTTATTAACTGCATAATAATTTAATGTTTGATGTATTTGTTACAGAATTAGAACCAATTAATGGATTTTATAGAGGTAATTACGATTTTTTTATAGTCCTAAATGGTTTTAAAATCGTGTTTTAAAGTTGATATTTTTTTTATTTTCTTTGTTTAATTTTTTAAAAATAATTATGTAATATTGTAAAAAATTTTATAGTTTTATTATTTCTTTGCAACACTATCATTTAATAATTATTTTCGTAGAATCTATATCATTGAAACAACTCGGAGACGATAGAAGACAACATGTTGTTCCAGCTTTAAAAAACGTAATCAGACGTCGTGTATTAGGTAAATATTATTACGAAGTTGTATGGTTTTTGAACGCTATTAATATATATACAAGGATACAACTGTTTTAATTATAAGCAATTATCCAATTAAATTATATCTACTTACACGTACTTTCAAGTAATACAAATATCATGGCTGTACAGTACGGACACCATTTTTATTGTATTATTTTTTTTATGAATTCGTATTGACAAATAAAATAGTTGTGTCCTGCACTGTAAAGAAATGTAATAACTAGTAAGCTAATATAAGCAAATTTAAATAAAAAGTTTTCAAATTTTTAAGAATCTGGGCAGCATGATGAAGCCTCTTTATTACCGAAGTGTCGTTTGCTAGGATTATACTTGAGTACACAATTTCCAGAATCGTTCATAAAACAAGTTGACATTGATCCAATTGACCTAATATGTATCTTAACGGATACAAATGATACCAAAAGATATTACAGAAAAATTGATAACGCATGGTCCGAAATAAGATTATCTAACATAAACGAATCACTACAATTCCTCGAGGAACAGTTACGACTTGGACGTCCACAAGTTCCATTTTCATTCCATGATGTATTATAATTTATCTTATTATTATCCCTATATTTATTATGAAATCTTAAGTTGTAAAATGGTATACACAAACTTAAGCTGACGGAAAAAGAACCGTTGGTGGATTTTTCCAATAACATATTCCACATAATAAACGTTTTTGTAAGTACATAATATTATACGTTTTTTTCTGTTTTATGTCATGTCTACCAACAAAATAAATATTACTGAATTTGTAAAGTTATATTTTTTTATCTGATGTATTGCATCTTCTTATTTCTGCTTCCAAATACTTTCCTTATATTTCTACCTTTACTAAATTAATGTGCAAATTTTGGATGACAGGTTCATTTATATATAATTCATATTAATGGTGATTATGTTAAAGGTAACATAACCTAAATAGAATTATAATGTCGAGTGACTAACTAAAACAGTGTAGAATATTATATAAATATAATATTCTATAGTCATACAATATAAATATTTTATAAGTTTTTAGACTTCTTGCAATATAAATTACCATAAAAGTTGAAAAAAAAGTTTTAAAAAAATGCAAAAAGTGTTGGGAGGGGAGCCCGGATTTGAGAACCCGGTACCCCTCACTCCTGGCAACCGATCACGCCAACCGCACCACATAGTTTTCATAACAAATCCTGTACAAATCCTGCATATGAAAGGGACTTCGTTCCAAACGCGCGTCCCGCGACACGGATCAGTTTTTAGTAAATTATTATTCATTTTTGAACTTGGCGTCACTTTAGAAACAAATTATACAAAAACCTCACTGTATAACACTTAAAATCATTTATACATGTGGGTGTACAATATGGTTTTGGCATTAATGAATTGAATCACCCTGTATATAAATATACAACTCTTAGGATTCTGATGACCAGTAGACTCCAAAAAAATTTCCACCAATTTTTAATGTCAATGTGCAACGCAAATCAATGGTCATTTTTTAAATTGTCAAAAGTATTTTTTTTCATAGAATTGACCGCAAAAACCTACAAAGTTTTCATCATAGCTTAAAGAAGAGTTAAGCACAGTTAGGAATTTCTTTTGGTATTTTTTAATTTTCAAAAAAATAATTTTCTTTGCAATTGATATTTACAATGGTTACATGTAGTGAAGTAAACAAAAAAATATAAACAAACTTTGTTTTGTAAAATTTTATTTTCCTTTTGATTTAGAAGTAAAACGGTAATAACAGCTCCCGATTCGGTGTAGTACTTTGAAGAGAGGAACTGTTTTTTTTTCAAAACCTAAAAGAAACATGAAAAAGTACTTGTTGTACACATCCAATCTGCGAACTAGTACGCAAACATATTTTGTTTTAAGTTTTCCCACCTAAAATTCGTAGGCTGTACTTTTTTCATGTTTGTCCATTTTTTAAAATTTTTGACACAAATAAAAAGTAGTCCCTTGTGTTCTAACATTCATTCAGAAAATAATTTATGAAAAATAAAAAATATAAAAACTGTAACAACTAACCGTACTTTTTTATACCTTACTCATATACTAAATTCAAATGAGCTGCTTAATTTTATCACGATTTGGAAGCGAGTAGAATTTATTGAGTTCTGAGCCGATAGGAGTAGGCAACGTTCATTTAGATAACTAACCCCCTTCAAGTACATGGTGGTCAAATACAGTCCCTATTGAAAAAATGCTAAAACTTGTCCCTTTTTAGATTACTTCTGAAATTATAGTAATTTCTCTCTTTTCGTATAAATAAAAGTAATTTGCCTTTGCTGTTCGAAACAGTATTTGAATTCCAACTTGGCGCGCGCAGGCTCTGTCCGTTTGACAACTTCTAGATAACAGCTACTATCGGAAGAGTCCAGATCTTAATCATGTCGTACTTACTATTATAATCATTATAATTTTTCTTTAGACCCTTTTAGTTGTTGTTTAACGCACAATATATTATTCACCATTAATTTTAATCAATACAATATTGTTGTTATGTATTTTTAGTTTAATGAAAATTGTATAAACTCTAATCTTTGCTTATACAGGGTGATCCAACTAACGTAAGACAGTCATTTTCTCGGAAAACATGAATATTTTGAGAATTTTTTTTTTCTAAACTTTTAGGTACATATTTTACTACATTTTTCAATATTTAGAATTTTTTTATCTTCAACCCTTATACGTTATAGAACTACGAAACTCGTTTTTTCAAATGGAAACATATGTTTTTAATTCCATAAGTATGTAGACAATTTTTTTTTTAGATGAAGAAAATATTGCTTTCTACTTGGAATCTTCGAAGAAATAAAATATTAGCATTTAACATAGCCATACTCAACCTGCGGCCCACGGGCCGCATGCAACCCGCCAATTGTTTTTATATGACCCAAAAAGAACTCATATTATAAATATATAAAGGCTAAAAAAAATACATATATAAATATAAAATACAACAAAACAATTATATTTTCAAGATGTGTAACGTACGCGATTGCAATAAGGATGTTAAATTTTAATATCATAATTTTTTGTTTCGAATAATAACTTGTATAATCATTTTTATTAGTAACATTTAATGTTAAAAATATTAGTTTATTTACTCAAGTCACTCCATAATTATAGTTGACTATAACATAACATGCCCGAACGGCGACGAACAATGGTTATTTATTATATCTGATTTATTATATACGGAATGCGCAAACATCAAATAATTATTATATTTTATGTGATGTCCGACGTAATAAGACTACTTGTCTTTGTTGAATCGAATGAAATTGTTTAGGCAGTTGTAGGTTGTAGGTGATAGTAACTAGGTAGGTTTTAATAACGCTCTAGTTGTCGCAGTGACAGAAAATGTTTTATTAACATGAACGGTAAATGACAATGCATAAAAGTTGATTTAAGACATAAGAGAAAATAACAATCCATAAAAGTTGATTTAAGACATAAGAGAAAATAACAATGCATAAAAGTTGATTTAAGACATAAGAGAAAACACAAAAAATGATACGTAATTAATAACGACAAATAAACGCGACGTCGGTCGTATTGACGGGACGGTGGGAGAGCTGCGTCGGACAGTCGGACAACCGGTGTAATGCCGGAATGACTCTGACTATTACCCCATAGGATGCGACGTGTGCGACGACCGATATAATGCCAGAATCACTCCGACTATTACACCACTGGCCGACGCACCAACCGCACGACGAGCTCCCGGGAAACAAGGGAGAAGTCAGTTTACTGCCAAGCGCAAGTCTGCCGCGGGTGGGTCTTGCTACAAGGCAAGTAAACGACTGGATAATTGACCATCGGTCACTCAGCCTTTTATACCCGACCTTTCGGTGATAATAAAGTGACGGACTCGTGTTCTGTACCGAACTTTGTCAGGTAGGACTAGTGTTCTGTGACGGAAACCGCCGCTTTATTATCGCCGAAACGTCGGGGATACAATTTTATATTAGATAACAAAAATAATAGTAATAATGGATAATGGAAAAGAAACGGGTGCCTTAGACATCCTGCCCGCCTTGAATGCGTCCAGCATTTAACAGACTGGAAGTGGACAAAGCTTCACAATTGGTCTCTTAATGATTCCGGTGGTGGTTTGAACAGTAGCAACTCGAGCAATCCCATCCTGGCCGGGAGACAACGAGAGAATCCGTCCGAGTTTCCAGAGCAGTGGAGATGTGGGCTCTCGAATCAGGACTAACATATTGGGTGTCAAGTTGCCGCTATGGTTTGTCCATTTGGTGCGCTGTTGGAGAGTTTGTAGGTATTCATTTTGCCATCTTTTCCAGAAATGGGTGAGGAGGTCCTTAATCAGTTTCCACCTCTGAAAATGAGATAAAGGAATATTATCCAGGTTGGGTTCAACATTTGCGGTACTAGTCATGAGGGTGAGAAAATGACTCGGAGTGAGGGCCTCAAAGTCTGATGGATCTGAACTCAAGGCACCCAACGGACGAGAGTTTAATGTAGCTTCGATACGACTCAGCAATGTGTTCAATTCTTCATATGTCAGTCGTTGAAGCCCAAGAGTTCGGTAAAGTAGCGTTTTTACGGACTTGACCCCAGCCTCCCATAATCCTCCGAAATGAGGAGCGGACAGGGGGTTGAAATGCCAACGGATGTTCCGAGCTGTTAAGTAAGCTTGACACTGGTGTTGATACTTCTTGGAACGGGTGAATTGATCGACAGGCTGGAGTAATTTAGCCGCTCCTGTGAAATTGGTTCCGCAATCACTGTGCATTTCTTTAATTGGTCCGCGTCTGGAGATGAATCGACACAGAGCCATCAGAAAAGTTTCCGTTGATAAGTCAGAGGCAACTTCTAAATGTAATGCCTTGGTTGACATACATACAAAGAGGCAGATGTAGGCTTGACTGGGCACGGTTCGCCGCGTAGTTGAAGATCTTAATACTATTGGACCGGCGTAATCCACGCCTGTTGTCATAAATGGTTTTATCTGTTGCAACCGATACTTAGGCATGTCACCCATGAAGGGTTGTGAATTGCGTGGGCGTATTTTGTAACACGCAATACAGCGCCGTAATCTTGATCTAATAATTTGGCGACTAGATATTATCCAATATTGCTGTGAAATAATTGTTTGCAGCGTTGTGGCACCGGGATGTTTATGCCGTTGATGAAAATCGTCAATAAGCAGGTTCGTTAGTCGGTGGGAGCGTGGCAGAAGGATGGGATGCTTCTGTTCATATGGAATGGTTGCATGCCTTAGTCGTCCACCCACACGTATGATTCCTTGTTCATCTAGGAATGGACTGAGCTTTCGTAGGTTACTAGTGCCAGTACCGGAGTGACTACTTAGTTGTGCGAAGTCATCCGGAAATGATTGCCTTTGCACTGCTTGAATAATCCGGTTCAGGGCTTTTACTTGTTCACAAGGAGACAGCTGTATGGTGCTTGGGTTGGATTTGTTGAAGACTCTTGAACAGTACGCGACAATATGTATGATTGTAGCGAGTGATGAGAACTTGTTTAACAGTTCTTCGAAGATATTCTGGTTGATAGTCATTACTAGAGTAGTTTTACGTTCTTCTGAATTTGTTGCATCACTGTCATTGTGGGTAGCTGTTGGTGGCCCTGTATTGGGGTTCTGAGAAAGAAATCTGGGACCAGTCCACCAGAGTGGGTGATGAAGAACTTCAGACGGATAGAGTCCTCTTGAGGCACAATCGGCAGGGTTGTCACTCGTGGGAACATAACGCCAAATGGATGGTGGTGTGAGTTCCTGT